GATGCAGGATGTGCACATGTATCCCAGAGCCCAAAGTACAATTAAAAAATAAATATATATGTGATGCTTTTTTTTCCCAATATCACCTCAAAAATTAGTTCCAAAGCTTTGAAACTTCAAATTCAATGCCAGGAGTCCTCAATAAAATGAATGTGTTGTCTAAGTAAGTTGAAAAAATAAAAAGTGAGAGAACTCATTCTCTTGCTGCCATCAGAGAATTTCTTCTTTTTCAACATGAATTTGAGAAGGGAACATTTATTAAGTCTAAGGTGGGAATACTTCAGGTATTTTTTTTTTAAACCACTGATGCTTGCCACAAATCTACTAACTAGAAACCAAGATATTTGATTAAATTTTAACCCAGTGGAGTGCTTAGGTAGTTACAGATGAGGTCTACATAAAACCAACTGTAGTAGCCAGATAGCTTTCACAATAACATAAAACCAGATACAAGTAATGAAGAAATTCCCTTTTGCTTCATTTCCCAACACGCTGTCTTCACATTAGTAGATTTTGTGTGCACTTTCTCCTCTCCACTGGTAGCATTATGACTTTTTCTTTTCCACATGTTCGAGATTTAATAACTTTGAGTACAGTGAACACGCCATTGCTGAGAGCTCGTTTCCTGTGCTTCTAACCAACTAAGTAGACTTCCTGGAGGAGAATGCCAAATGTGTGTGATGCTAACTCCCTTGAAATAAACAAGATATTCATAAAAATGACTTGCACATAAACCAGTTCCTCTGGCCTTAGCAATTCCAGTTTTATAGCCACTGCTTTTGGCTTTGCAGGTGGGTAGGCTGCAGACTTTGCCTCTTCAAGGTGGTCTTCCCAGTACATTTCCAAAAAAGGAGCTCATCAGGTGGAGAGAAGTAAAGCTGGATTTCACATGACCTCAAAGGCAGGTGACCAACCCCATTTCACACAAGGCCATATCTTTACCAGTAAGTTAGATATTGAGAACTCCAGCTGCATTTTAACATGGAAACATCAAGGCTAAATATGTAGGTCTTTAATTAGTTAGTCAATTCACTCAATATTTACTGGAAATATATATTGGTCATCCTTTCAAAGCCTGTGACCCATAGTTCATCTCAAATGGAACTGGAAGGCTTTTCAGAAGCTGCTGTTAAGTCCACACAGCTAATAGTTGACCAGATCTCCCTAGGATGCAAGTTATATTTGAAGAAAGTTTCCATGTTTCCCTAAATCTTCTCTTTCTTAAGCTACACACACAAAAGTAGCTAATATGACAGTGGTTTTCAAATCTTCTCTAAGTAGGGAGGTCTGTCCCGAAATGTGGGGCTCAGCATTTATCATAAAACTTGAAATGCTTTGTACTAGTGCAGAGTCCACATGGCCATTAGCCCACTTTCTCCTGCAACTCTGCCCTAAGAAGACAGTCTATGTATGTATATGCTTTGAGGAGTCATATCAGGTGGTGGGGTCACTTCTAGCTGGGCAATCCACACTTAGAGATCAACACACATTAAAAGGAAGATATCCAAACTGCCCTCAACACCCCTAATATTTACCAGTAGCAGGGAGAATCCATAATGTGAAGATGGGAAAGGGAGGACAGGAATACACATTTATTGGAAGTCGACTGTGTGTTGAGAATTGTGGTACATACTTCACATAGCTAACCTTCTCTGACTCTCACAAGGACCCTAGGAAGTATCATTTTAGTTCCCATGTGTGTTTGTTCTGAACCAGTTTCGCTGCAAATAACAGAGAGACTAACAGCAAGACTTGTCTCTAAAAATAAGAAGTCTAGAGGCAGGCTGCCTAGGCCTTCCTTGGAGCTCTGGGAGCCATCAGGGACCAGTCCTTTTCCATCTTTCTGCTCTGCTATCCTTAGTGTGTAGGCCTTCCTCTTCGTGTTTGCCACCTCATGATTATGGGATGGCTGCCCCCCGCCAGGCATCATGTCCAGGTTCCGGGGGCGGGGGAAAAAGGAAAAAAGGCAAAGGGAGAAGTTCATGCCAGCCCAGCCTGCTCTTTCTATTTGTTTCTTTGTTTCTTCTTTTTTTTTTTTTTTTAGACAGAGTTTTGCTCTTGTTGCTCAGGTTGGAGTGCAATGATGCAATCTCCGGTCACCATAACCTTCACCTCCCAGGTTCAAGCGATTCTTCTGCCTCAGCCTCCCGCGTGGCTGGGATTACAGGCATGCACCATCACACCCAGCTAATTTCTGTATTTTTAGTAGAGACGGGGTTTCTCCCTGTTGGTCAGGCTGGTCTCAAACTCCTGACTTCAGGTGATCTGCCCGCTGCGGCCCCCCAAAGTGTTGAGATTATAGGCGTGAGCCACTGCGCCTGGCCCCAGCCTGCTCTTTCCAGAAACAACCTTCTCATCCACTATACCCAGTGATTTCTACTTATGTGTTATTGGCCAGAACTATATCAAAGGGCAACTGGGAAGATGAATATTTTTTATCTGTGCATAGTTAAGCTCCAAACAAAATCAGAGTATTATTGGTAAAGAAAGGTGAGAAACAAATATAGCGTAAGCAACATCAGGGTCTGCCACTCCATTACCAATGAGAAAATAGGCCAAGAGACATGAAGGCCATGGCCATGGCCATGGCTGGAAAAAGGATGGGCTGAGATTTGAAGCCAGGCCCCTGCCCAGTCCAAAGCTCTCGTTTTCCTGACTGTGCCACACTGCCTTTGGGCATAGCATAAACAGACATCCCTTCCTAATGCTATCAGGAAGTAGGTATTCTGTTGCTCAGAGTCATTTTACAAATGGGAAAGTTGAGGCACAGAAATGGTAAGTACTTAAGTAACAGGATTTGAACTCAATCGGTGTATTAGTCTGTTCTCACACTGCTAATAAAGATATACCCGAGACTGGGTATAATTTTAAAAAGAGGTTTAATGGACTCACAGTTCCACGTGGCTGGGGAGGCCTCATAATCATGGTGGAAGGCAATAGAGAAGAAAAGCACATCTTACATGGCAGCAGGCAAGAGGGCTTGTTCAGGGGAACTCCCATTTATGAAACCATCAGATCCCATGAGACTTATTCACTATCATGAGAAGAGTATGAGGGAAACCACCCCATGATTCAATTATCTCCACCTGGCCCCATCCTTGACATGTGGGGATTATTACAATTTAAACTGAGATTTGGATGGGGACACAGCCAAACCATAGCATTCAATCACTATAAAAAGGAAATTAAAGTCTGAAAACTTCATGTCTCTAGTATCTCTCTCTCTTTCTCTCTCTCTCTCTCTCTCTCTCACACACACACACACACACACACACACACACACACACACAGCCATGAACTGCTTCCAGGGACATCCTACCCTAGGGGAGATTCTGACACTCAACCTAGAACTTGTCAAGGAGGACTGATGCAGGCTATCAACTGATATATTAAAAATAATATGGAACCAGTTACTGAGACCCTGTGGGTGATTTCCAAGTTTTTCAGAATGTACATATTAAGTTATTCAAAAGAAATCTATTGTGGCTTTAACATTTTCAATGTAATGACCCTTACAGGATTGGTTTGTATCAGGAATACCAAAAACTCAGTGCTGCCCACTGATCAATTTGTCTTCTAAAGCAGTGCTCAAGCAGAGGCGGATGAAGCTGATAACAACGGGCTTTTATTTCATGAGAGCTTAAGAAGTGCCAGACATGGTGATAAATGTTTACACTTGTCATCTTATTTCATCTTGACCCGTCTTTCTGAGAGCCTTCTGGTTATCCTTACCTTTCAGGTAAGGACCTGAGGCTCAGTGAAGCCAAGAGACTTGCTGTAAAACACACATCTATGTAAAGGCAGGACTGTCCTGTCATCTAGGTGGCCCACCCGACCTCACCACATTAATGTCCCTGACTGTGTGTAGGGTCTGAAGACGGCAGAAAGGAACTTGGGGTGAGGACCGGTAGACTTGCAAGTAGATAACACCCCAAATGTGTTTGTGCCACTGAATTTCTAAGCTAACCAATGACTATTAACCTTCAGCTCTTCTAATTTATACTATGTTTATACAGACCAGCGTTTTAGCCTGGCAAGATATTTTTAGACTAGAAAACCTGTGCAATGCTGAGGATTAAACAACTTCAATTCTATTGCACTTACCCACATCTGGCAGGCAGGGCGTAGCTTTATGTAAAATTAAAAGCCAATGAAACTTACCATTTTTTTCTTTTTTAGTTTGGCAGTAAAGTTGCTTTCTTCTAGTTGTTCACAAATGAAACATGCTGTGCTGGTTTCTGAAAACCAAGAAGCCTGGAGGGAAATTTATGACTTTGAAATGAAATTTAGAGGTTGAAGGATTTAGCAATTTGCAAAGAACATAGAGCTAAGCCCATGTAAAAAGCTGTTCAAAAGGTCCTGGCATAAAGTGCTAAGGTCTTTTTCAAAAGTCCCTGCAGAAGCTCTTGGGAATCTGAAAGCGTAAAAATGGGAGACAGCATTTTAAAGACATCTTTTCCCTGAAAGCCGGTGCTTGTGAGCCTGTGCGTTTTCCCACATGAATATGCTCGGCCGTTATGTTAGCCAGGCATTTCCTGTGTGCGGCAGGTTTGTAATCCTTTTTTTTTCCTTTTCCTTCTCAGGGAATTATCCAAGATTTGTAGCCAGCAGTCTCTGCCATATTTTCTCTCAGCCCTTAGTCACACGCCCATATATGGAAATCTTTATCACACAGTCCCTGGCTGGGACACTTTACAGGAAGTGTTTAGTGTATTGTGGTCCTTAGAACTAAGTCATTCTAAGTCGAAGGATAAAATGGCAGCAATAGGCATGACTGTTGTGTGTGTGTGTCTGTGTGTGGTTACTTTGGAGCCGCGAAATATATTTGACAAGTTTAAAGTCAGGGTTTTAAACGTCCGCCCAGTAGTTCTTGTTTAGCAAAGTGAATTTTTGCTATTTAGAAAGGAATCTTTTTCACTTTTGTCTAGAAGTAAAGTTGAAAGGCATGCTGGGATATTTTCCCCATGATAAGGGATTTCAACCCATCCACATTGGGACGTTTTTCCCTGCTCAGGCAGCCACAGCACAGAGATAGAATTTGTCATAAGGTTAGTCCAGCTTAAATAAACAGAAGTCAAGTTAGTGCTTCACCGACTGATGTTTTAGCAGATGCTCTGCCCTTTCAAGGAGCGCAAGGGGCAAATGTGAGAACTTAAGGCTATTTTACATTTATGCAATGAGTTACACTGTTCAAAAAACTTTCACATCTTTCTGTCCTTGTGCAACCTAATTTCTCTTACCAGAAACCTGAGGTTCCAAAGGTAAGTCATTTGCTTAAGAAAACACAGCTAATACCACTTTGCATTCAGAAACTCCCAGCAGCTCCCACTGCATGAGTTATCAAGTCCAAACTCTTAGGACAAAAGCGAAGGTTTGAGAAACATTGAACAACCATTTATACACATAAGTACCTGTGGTTAGGCACATGAGAGGTGAAACCAAATCAGATAAACTCTTAGAGAGCTGTAAGAGAAATTAGGGAATCTGTCATCATACAAATAATTAATTGCAATAATGTAAGTGCCTTAGTCTGCTCAGGCTGCTGTAACAAAATACCACAGACTGGGTGGCTTAAATAACAATTATTTCTCACAGTTCCAGAGGCCGAAGTCCAAGATCAAGGTGCTAGTGGATTAATTTCCTGGTGAGGACCCTCTTCCTGGCTTGTACCTGTAAATGGCCACTGCCCTTCTCTGTTGCTCTTTCCTCATGGTTTTTCCTAGGTGAGTGCACTGACAAGAGAGAGAGAGAGAAAGAGACAGAATCTATTTTCCTCTTTTTATTTATTTATTTAATTTTTTTTTGAGGCAGAGTCTTGCTCTATAGCCCAGCATGAAGTGCAGTGGTGCGATCTTGGCTCACTGCAACCTCTGTCTCCTGGTTCAAGCAATTCTTCTGCCTCAGCGCCCTTAGTAGCTAGGATTACAGGCACCCACTACAAAAATTATTTTTGTATTTTTAGTAGAGATGGGGTTTCACCATGTTGGCCAGGCTGGTCTCAAACTCCTGACCTCAGGTGATCTGCCCACTGTGGCCTCCCAAAGTGCTGGGATTACAGGCTTGAGCCACCACACTCAGCCAATTTTCCTTTTCTTATAAGGGCACTAATTCTCTCATGAGAGCTCCACTGTCACGATGTCATCTAAACCTAATACTCCCAAAGCCTTTACCTCTAGATACTATTACATTGGGAGTTAGGGCCTCAACATATGAATTTTCAGAGGACATAAACATTCAGCCAATAGCAATAAGCAAGTCACTGGGTGGGGAGTGGGCTGGGATTGAGCACAGTTGAGGTAAAACTAGTTTTAAAAATCATGTTCTTCCCATTGGTCTCTCCCCATGGACTTGATCCAGGGTCTGTGAATAGCTTTATCCTGCAATTAGTGATGCATCAGAGCAAAAAAGTGTCAGGACATAATGCAGCACTTAGGAAGGAGGACGTGTGTGCGATCATCATCAGACTTTCACTTCAAGGTTAAGAGAAGTGAGAGTTGTAGTTGTGGGTGAGGCCAGGTTAGGGAAAGGAGGAAGTTGGAGAGGGACTGCCTGGGAAGACCAACACTGTGTTAAGGACAACAGCCCTCAAAGTAGTTCTCAAATTTCCTTCCAAGAAGATGTCTGTTTGAACATTTTTACTGACATTTTAGACCCAGATTATGTGTTTTTTTCAGAGATATTTGACCACATGGGTCCTTCTCCATAGCCAGACCACCTCCAGGGTCAGTGGGATAGTTAACATATTATAAGTGATATTGATCTCTCTCCAGACGTGATAAGAGGTCTCCTTTTGTATAGGCAGTACAGGTTCTGTGAGTTCATCCTGTCTGCAGTTACAGCCTAGTACAGGCCTGGGGATGAGTGTATTTGCTTTGCTAAGTAATTGACTCCAGGCACATTTTGCCTGTACAGAGACCTGAAGTGGGCATATGACTGTGTTCGAGATAAAATTAACAAAGAGAACAGCCATGGGTGACCAGTAGGATGAAGCCCAGCCAGATAAACACCCTCCAGGTAGACCCGATGCCAGTTATGGTGTGGGGACCCTTTTGCCCATTGTCCTCCATGGGCTTCAGGTGTCCCAGCAACCATTGGGAAATAATTAAATCACCTTAAACGATTGTTCTTGGAAGTAAAATGCTGAGAAGTATTTGTACAGGTCAATCAAGTCAACACAGCATGAAGGATTTCTTTTAAAGGGGTCTCACCCTGTGTTCTGCCTTCCTTGCTTCCCTCCTTCCATGACTTCCTTTTCAGTTGAACATCTACTATGTGCTGGTACTGCCCTAAGCCCCGGGGAGTACACAAATGATGAAAGCATGGCCTGGCATTGGTCCTCTTTTATTCTGTGAATATTTATTTTACGTGCCAGCCACTATGCCATGTACTAGGCATGCTGCATGGAAGAGGAAATGCAGATTCTGCATTGTCGGTATACAGGATAGTGGTAATAATGTTGAATGAGTAATTAGGAGTGTCGCAAAAATCATGAGTGAAAAGAACAGAGTTCCATGAGGATGTATAACAGAAGGGCCTGAGTTTATGGAATAAACAGCTCCCCCTCTGAGGAGGAACATGCAGAAAGCGCTTAAAACATGCTTTTACTTGAGTAAGCTCTATTTTAAATTCATATTCTATCTTCCCAAAGTTACAATGATTGTATGATTTTAAAAAATGTATTCAATCAAATTATGTTGATTACATGAGTGAAGCAACCAGCTTGTTAAATGAATTAGTTGCTCAAGATTTAGGCAGATTTAGTCTTTGGATGACTGATCTTTTGAGATATGTCTCAAAAGATCAAACACAGATTCACACTTCCTAAGCTCATATAGCAAGGTAGGCAGAATTCTAAGATGATCTCCAATATTTCTGCTCTCCTCTTCCCTGGTATACAAGTTCTCCCAGTTATTTAATCAAACTCTTATCTAGGTACCGTGAAGAGATTTCACAGATGTAGTGAAGGTGCCAAATCAACTCACCTTAAGGTGGGAAGATTATCTGGGGAGCAGCAGGTGCTGATCTAATCAGCCAAACCCTTAAAAAGGACTGTGCTTTTGCTAGTGAAAGAGATTCAAAGTTTAAGATAAATTTGACACTGGGGGAGGGGGTTCTCCACAGCTGGATTTGAAGAGTAATATAAGGGGCCTTTAGGAGCTGAGAGCAGCCCCTAGCTGATAGTCAACAAAGAAATGAGGGCCTTAGTCCTACAACCTCAAATAACTGAATGCTGCCATGACCACATGAGCTTGGAAGATGACCCTGAGCTCCCAATGAGAAAAAAAAAACCCTGCCAACACTTTTTAGCCTGATGAGATCCTGAGTAGAGAATGCAGCCACGCTGTGCACAGCCTTCTGACCTATGGCACTGTGAACTAACAGATAAGGTGAGGTGATTTTGGCCTCTAAGTTTGTGGCAATTTGAGACACAGCAATAGAAAACAAATATAGCTGCTATTCTGTTTTCCTCTCAGTATAAACATCTCTATTGCTTCTAATATGACCCAAGTCCTCTTGACAAAAAAGACTGGACATGTGACCAGGCTGGCAAATCATCATATCTCTCACCTCTGAGCATGATGATTGGCTCAGGTGTTGGGAGTGTGACCTAAGCTGTGCCACCAGTGTCCTTACCTGTGAATTATCAAATATAAACTTAAGGAAGAATGCTAACTTCCCCAGTAATGAGAGCCCAGAGCTGCCCATAGCCATGACCCCACTAACATAATGAAACTGGTTTGAACCCTGAAACTCAAAGAGCATGGAGAGTCTTGACAGTGTTTGAGACCCTGCATCCATTGTCTTTTGGCCACGTGAACCTACGCCCTTCCGGCGACTTGGTTATATGAACCAAGGCTTCTCCTTTTGATTTGAGCCAAGTCATGCTGAGCTTCTGTTGCAGGCAGCCAGGGAGGTCTGAACAATAAAGCTAGAGAGAAGTAAAGAACTGTGAGCTGGAAGACACCAGTTCTGCTTATCAGACATTAAGACATGGAAGTGTCTCCTTGCAGATAACCTGAGTTTTATATTTTGTTCTTATAAATCAGTGCTGAAGGACATCAAATAATAGTAAAAATAAACACTAGTCAATCATATTATTAGAGTTTCCAGGGATTTTAGATGCTATCTGGTCAAGGGCTCTAATTTTCTATGGGTAGAAGCTCTGGCCCAGACAGGAGGAGCAGCTAGTGAGGAAACAAGGTGGTCATTCCAGAATTATTGGGTAAAACTAACACAGGTTGAATGAAAAGTAATGCTGTCTGGATCTCATCAGTTCTCTTCTGCTTTCCATGATTACTTGGGTATTCATTCCAGTGTCTTTTTCTCAAGTTTTCTTAAATCGTGTCTACTGAGCACTGTGACTCTCATGATCCCTATGGTATATTTTCGAGCTAGACTCTCTGAAACTTCAGACCAGTTTCTGAAACTCTGGTGGTATCTCAGTTTGTCAGAGTGATTTCTACTTGATTGTACTAAAAATGGTGTAAAACTGTGTCCTGTTATACATACTGCAAGAAGCTATCCTGGGCACAATTTACCTTTGTAGTGCTTGTATAAGGATAAATTCATAAATGATTATCTCCCTTAAATACAAATGCAAGTTGTTTCCTTCAATACCTATTCACAAAGATTAAGGAGATAAATGTTTTCCAATGCCTGGTTGAATGACACTTCTGACATACCAAATTGTGAACATCTTACTCTATTTGAACATGGAATTACAGAGTAGATAATCTGGAAGAGGGCTTTAGGGATCACCAGACTCAACCTCTCACGGATCAGAGAAGGATGATGGGCTCCAAAGAGTGGGAAGGTCTTGGTCAAGGTCAAAGCCTCTCTATCTTAAACATCATTAGGTCTCCTATTGTGCTTTCAAATGAGATGAACTCATAGACATCTTTTCTTAAAATTTGCTTTTTATGCATATATATAAACAAAAGTAGCAAAAAATATAAAGTGCAAAGATTGTCCACCACCTGGATTTCAGAGCAACTGGGGAAAGATCTGTTTCCAGGATGAAAAATCTTACCAGTGAGATAAGAAGACCTATTTGTTATTAATTTTAAAACTTGAGTAATTAAAAGGGAAGCATTGTTTCTCTGTAAAAATTGGTGTAAATTTATTTTTAAATATTTGGAAAACTGTAAGCTGTAGAAAGAAGGAGAAGAAATTGCTTATATTTGCACTATCCAACAAAACCAATTTTCAACATTTTTGGTGATTTTCCTTCAGTCTTATTCTATATGAATAGAAATCTACGAGGATGGCAGTCATAAACATTTTCCCATGTTATTGCAGCTTCTTTTTAAATATCTACTAAGCACATGTGGTATGTTTTTCTTTAGCAGTTAGCTATTCTATTATGGGAATGCTGCTTTTAAAATAACCTTACAAGGAGCATCTTCATGTGTAAATATATTTTTCCATATTTAGGAGTATTTTCTTATTCCTCATAGATGGAATTTCTGGATCTGTTTTATAATAGGTGCATAGCTCAATTCACATTAAAAGAATTAAATAAGTATGTTGATCAGAATGAGCCAGATGTGCTGTGGTAACAAGCAGCTCTATTATCTCAGTGACCTAATAAAATAAAAATGTACTTCTTAGTCATGGGAATTCATTTTGGGGCTCAGGGTACTCTCTGAAGCTGCTGCCCTCATATGGGGAC